AGGCTCTGAATATTCCAACCAGGTGTGGCATAAGAGTGTCCAGTCCCCAGTGAAGTAGGGCTGGTATTATACCGTCAGGCCCTGGTGACTTGAAGGGGGAAAAGCCCGATATAGCCCATCTTATTTTGTCCTCATCAATTACTGTACCAGCAGCCATAATTATAAACTGTGTAAACTTGTAGCATGTGATGCAACAATAAAGAAAATATTAATATAATTGTTACTATTATTCTCGACTGTTTTCAAGAAATACATTCTCATAACAAGAAGTTTGGTAGCAATAAGTTGAATAAGAAATATTAAAAAAAGATTTATAATACGTATTTGAAAATAGTGTATTTCAAATTAATAGAGCAAATTTCAAATCAAATTAGGTAGTAGTCTGTTAAATGGGTGTAACAAAAATCACTTATAGAAGTCAACCGGACCTTTCCCATAATGTCGCCATAGTTGATTCCCGAAACAGATGAGCCCACAGAATAACAATAACATTGTATAGTTTTATTCACACTTTCCAACTATGTGATGTAGGAAATGGTTAATGAAACTGGCGTGCCTTCCGAAATACAATGGAATTCTGCTTGAAGCAAGACAAAATTATTGCTCGAATCATATTTTCCTCTCCAGCAATAAAAATAAGACATAACAATATATAACAATAAGACACATCTTTTTGAAGCTCCTGGCAAATGCTTCACAACCTTAGAATATAATGTAAATATGTTGAACTGCTACAGTTCAGAAGATGCTCGAAATGGTTGCCTTGAACGTCTTGACATATGAACAGCCTATCCGATATTTTACGCCGAACATTTTTGAACACAGTAACGTCAATATCTCTACAAATATTTATTATTCTCTGCTGTATATCCAATATTGAAGCAGGTTCAGTTTCGTACACCTTCTGCTTCAAATAGATAGATAGATAGATTTATTAAAGCTTTCAATTTAAACAATTGATGAAACTCAAGTCATAAAAATGATTACATTAACAATACAAATGTCAGTTAATATTAATATAAATAAAAGCATGTGGTATAGGTAANATTATGACAATTAGATTTTTTTGTGGAATTTTCAAAAGCTTCTCTGATTTTTGCAGTTTGTATTTTTTAAATTAAAATCGTTGTGAGAGCTACCAGAATTGCCTCCGCGAGCTACCGGTAGCTCGCGATCGACAGGTTGGCGACCACTGGTTTACGACATACCCATGTACAGAAACGAATTTTAATAGCCCTGTATATATACATTTTAAGCGAACTTAACTGGTCACAGTTTAAATATTAATATCATTACAACCCTTTGTAGCTTTTCTCTGATGATGGTAATATGATTATCAAAATATTGGAATAAGTTGTGTTATAAGAGTATACTTTCGTTCTGCTTACCACCCAAATAATTTCTAAGTTTTGTTGTTTGTTGATCCTTCTAGTCTTATTTTATGTTGTAGGCAGTGGAAAGTAAATATCAGACTCAGCTAATAATAAGCAGAGCTCTAGAAGAAAGAATTATGGATTTAGGGCAACGACTTGAGTTTGAGAGAGGAAAACGCTCAGTTCATTCTCCTGACACGAGTAGCTGTCACGAAGTTAATGTAACAACAACTGCTGGATTCAGCCCTCATTCTTCTCCTCTATCGGCATCGTTGGCATCTTCGGAGGGTAGCGCAGCTTTTCATGAAAAAGAGGTGAAAAACTTGCAAGTAAGTACTGCGAAAATCAAAATTAGATAATGGCTTGGTGAACGTGATGAGAGCTTCTCCAGCTCCTTTGGTTTTAGATGCATCCGTATAAAGTTTTTGTGTCGTTTTAAAATAGGTTTTCAACTCTAGTCTTCCAAAGGTATATCGCATAGATATTTTTAACGGGCCAGGGGAGTAGATCTTCATATTGTGAAGGATAGGAGTTAGAAAAGAAACGTTCAGCTGATCAAAGAAAGCCTTTACTGTTATATAAATAGTAATAATGTAATTAATGTATATAATACATTTGTAACAGAATTTAATTGTATCTATATCTATTGTTCATAATAAAACTTCCTTGAAAATTGGATAATTATGTTTTATTTATTGCTATTAGGTTAACTAGTGTCAAAAATATTTTCAACAGGCTACCTTGTAAACATAATCTTTTAATACTTTTTACAACCATTATATATGTCACTTTTAATGACAGTTGTACTGTCCCAAATTCCGCATACTCGATCTCCATATTAGCGAAATTTGTATTAGATTTAGATACGCTTATCTAATGTCAAAATAAATCCAAAAAATGTTTATTGTTATCGATCAATTTTTTATGATTATTGTCTTCTACGAGATCATTTGATCACATAAACCTAACTGATTCAGTGTCATCTTTCTATATATTTTTGTGTGAATCCAATGAGACAAGAAATTTTTTTTCAACAGATCGCTAAGCAGCAGGTATTAGCAGGAGAAAAAGTCAAGAAAGAATTGGACCAAGTAAATAAAGAACTACTTTTAATAGGCGAACTTCAATTAGAAAATATGAGGAGGATAGAAACTTTTTCTGCTAGTAGGAATAATGAATATGAGGTGGAGGAGTTGAAGAAGGCATGTGAGGAAGAGATTAAAGGTATAATATTTAGTTTGGAATATATCAGTACAGTTCCTTCGGACTGCGGACACTCAAGTGTACGCATTACGTGTTACAAAGCAAACCTAGTTATTTTTGATGTGATTTATTTCAGCTTTTTCCACACAACTATACAGTGAGGGGTAAAATCATGGTACAGGTATTATCACACCAAACTATCTGAAACAATAATAAACACGCTTTACATACTTGTGATGTACTGTTTGGAACCTTTGGGGTAGTAATGAATATTACTTATCAAAACAGTTCTTGAAGATGACCATTCGGTAATCGAAACACGTGTCGAGGTGTTAAAATAACGGTTTGGTATTGGGAAAAAAAACTCCAGTAATATTCTTTACGCTTTATATAATTTACCTAAATCAGATACAGGTAATAGATATAGGTATAGAGGTCAACATAAATACGAGTTACGCAGCCGTAATATCCAGTCATCGGGAATCAGGATGTATCAGAAATTAAAATAAGAAAGAGAGAAATTAATTCTGGAGTTCCACAGGGTTCTGTGTTAGGTCCATTCTTTTCTTATTATTAGTGTCCGACCGAAAGTTCGGTTTCGGTTCCGGCCGAGTTTCGACAAAGAAACGGGTTTCGGTGGCAAACCTGCCGAAACTACGACCGAAACCGAAACTGCATTCGGGAGTTCCCGCGCTGTTATCGGTCATGTTCGGCTCGTTAAATTCCATACAAATGATATTAGGTAACAACTCAAATAAGTAATTTTTAGTTTGATATTTTTGAAAACCCATCAATAATATTCAAAAGAAGGATCTATACCTACTCAAATAAACACCCCCACCTATTTTAAGTATTTTTGAGGTGCCATTAATATTTTTTCTCAAATAAGGGTTTTTTATGTTGAACATCAATAAGTAAAAATGTCGAAGACTGCATAACGTTGTGATTTAAAGATAAAAAATAAAGACTAACTGATTAAAATAACCTTTTTTTTTATTTTTCCCTCAAAACATAATCCTTGTAAGGAAGTTTCGGTTTCCGTCATAAAAACCAGTTTCGGTCGGACACTACTTATTATATATTAATGACCTCACCAAGCTTAATATTTTTAGAAAGTTCACCTTATTTGCAGATGACACAACCATACTTTGGAATAATAAAAACACTTGTGAGTTGCACAAAATAATCTCTGCCTACTCGAAAAAAGTTAAAGATTGGTGTGATTCAAACATTTTATCTTTCAACTTAACTAAAACAAATTTAATATTGCAACGAATTCAAGAATTAACTGTCTTAAACAAATTTATTTTTAACAATATTTCACTTTCACAACTAATTTATACACAACACTTAGCAACTAACGCTTAATTTATCTTCACTAATNGCTAGCCACTCGCGCCAGCGAAACGTCAGGAAAAAATTCCAGAAATCCACGGCCTACTATTATTTGCATAAAAGAATGCGCTGGTGGCACCCTGTGATTCAAAACAAGTCTGCACTCAGTTTATCCTCTCCCGTAGCCGGGCCTGATGTGGAATTATCAATAATACGCATTATGAATAGTAGAATTGGAACCTCAAGCGTAGGATAAATCCAAAACAAGCACTGTACCCAAACACCAGAACTGCAACAGTCTTCTCGACGCGCGTTCATCAACCAAGGTGGCATCTTCAGGGGATGAAGTACTGTTTGAAGGTGGTTGACAATGTTTCGTGGTGTATTTCATCAGTTCGGACTTCCATTGTCTAATATAATACAAATTGATTTGCAAATATCATGTTCCTAA